ACGGCGAGTTAAGAGGAGGGGAAAAAAAAAAAAAAAAAAAAGAAAAAAAAAGTTGATTTTTAAGGGCAGCCTTGCATGGACAACTCCTGCAAAATCACGCACGGGGTTTGTTGGGGTTTTTTTTAACTGTCTGTAGAAGACAGTAACTTTATTTGGAGTTTAGGGGGAAAAAGAAGAAGAAGAAAAAAAAAAAAAAACACCACCACACAATATACTTCCCCTTCTTGCTTTTGTGCAATAAACTTTAGAGCCTGGAGATATCCAACACTCACATTTTTTTCCCCTAACTCCTATACTTTATAGGAAAGTGAGTGCGGCGCTTGTAATTTTAATAAATTCAGGGGGTTTTTTTGCCACTTCCTGCTTCCTTCAGCGCTCAAACACGGAAGCTGGGACACTCGGAAGAGATACTGACCCTTGAGGTGACAGCAGCCCCTCAAGCCCCCAGCGGGCTGCATTTGGTTTTACAACTCTCTTTTTTTTTTTTTAACCCTTTTTTCTTTTTTTTAACCTCCTCCACTACAGAAGGATTTCGGGATGCTGCCTGCCTCATGGAACAAGGAAATGAATAATCCCTTTAAAAAAATAATAATAATAACAATAACAAAAAAGCGTCCCAGGAGAGAATTTCAGGAAAAGCCACATTTAAAAAGGGCCCATAAAAATTAGCGATGAGGCTCTAACGAGCATCCCAGCAGCTGATTGCAAGGGGTCCAGTCCTGGGATGGATGCAGGGGGTTATCGCGGGGAGGGGGCGCAGCCCTGCAAGCATCCTGCACGCTTGTTTGCACGCTCGCCGGAGTGAAGATAACCGGATCCAGCCATTGCCCGGGATAACAGGGCTCCACGCTGGCTCCCAGCCCAGGAAAAACTTACGCACCCACCAAGTGCCGGGTGAAACCTGCTCGTAAAGCCACACTATGTGCCACAGCGGCGGCATTTACCGACGGGGGGGGGTTTGCAGCCAAAGAGGAGCTGGGGGTAACACTGGCACCGCGGGGATCAGCCGAGATTTTGGGGGATTATCGGCGTGGGAGAAAACTCGCGGTGAGGGGAAGCGGAGTCGGAGAGACTCTATTTTATCTT